GATCTTTTCCCCAGGCGGAAAAGTAATTTGGTTACTGCTGAAGGTAAAACTGAAATGGAACTACTTGCCTGGGTGGCTTCACCTCTTGTAATAAAATATTCATACCCGTTATTTATTATTGGAACGTTGTTGTATTATTGTTATTATTTGTTTTTTATTTCGATACCGATGCTTTAATGTAAGAATTCCCTAGTGACTGTTACGGAATAATTATTTCGTCATAAAAATCATGGCGATTAATAAGAAGGGCATGAGAAGTATTCGGTTCTCTGAATTAGCACTTTGCATGTAAGGTCTTCGCGATTAATAAGACAAGTCGCAGAGTATTGGTTTATTAGTAATATCTTGGCGACTAATAAGGGAAGCGTGAGTAGTGTTCAGTTTAGGAAGATTGCGATTATAAGACTTTATGTTTAATACAAAAAAGACGTTCGTAATAGTAAGCGATGTATAACACCGAGAGTTAATATACTCGTTAGAAGGTTGATACTCGATTAATACAACAAAGGTTATTGTGAATTTACCGTCACTGTGAATTTATTGTTCTTGTAAATTTATCGTTATTTTGTTTAAGTTAAAATATTATATATATATATATTTATGAAAAGCAAATTTCGGACTAGAGATCGGCACTTTGTATACGAAATTTAAAAGAAAAATTAATGTTAATGTTAAAGAACAAGAACGAGATAATAATGGAAAATTTGCCAAAAAAAAAAAAATACAGACTGTTGATAATTGGGGAGATGATGATGATAGTGGTTGGGATTATGATAATGGTTGGCTGCCAAAGGAACTAAGAAAATAACATTTTTAATTAAAAATTCGATTCCAGATGATTTTGACAAGATTTTAGGTGATGATGAACAAGACAATATAACCTGAATGAAAGAATTAAAATTCTTAAAAAATAAACAACTTAAATAACAGCAAAAAGTTTTAATATTAACAGTTACTGAATGTAATAAGAAGAGAGCAGTTTTTGAATATTGGATGGAAAAGGCAAAGCAAATGGCCAGTATGGCAATCATTGGATTTATAAATCACGCGCTGATCTACATCCGAAATTTCGGACTTAGATGATAGCCACCATACAACGCGTCATAAAATACGCGAGTTTCACAGACTTGTCACCTGATCTAAATATATGGATGTGAATTTTCGATCAATCAAATAAATAGCAAAATTGGCTATTTATATATGTACGGATGAGTCTTGTAATGCATTACAAGTGCGTCTCGATATAACGACACGTTCGGTTCCAACCTAAACGTTCGCTATATCAAAATGTCCTTATATCGAAAAATTTAACTTTATAACGACAAAAAGCAAGTTTAACCAATTGGCGTTATACAAAAAAAGTCAATTTTATTGGATAAATTTGATACGATTGACAACTGTTCGTCATTACAAGTATCGTTTTCGGCATTGAGCCATCTATGGGATTCTTGGTGACAGAACCATCCTTTTGATTCATTAGCCAGCTGTTGTTGTTAAATTGGTGTCGCGGGCTCGCTGGGCAAAGTCGGTTTTTTTTGAATGCCGGTAAGACTTTTTTGTTATATTTATTTTTGTCATTCTTACTTTTTTCAAACATGGAGACACCTTTTGTCAGTATTACTTCTTTTAGAACATGGAGACGCCTAAAGGCCAAGCATTATGATGATAGATTTTCTGCTTACCTTTTCTGATTTATTAATATCATTAAAAATTAATTCTTATGCTTAAGCAGATAAACGAGATAATGATAATATGTATTGTATTAATATTAATGTTACGACCCATTCTGGGAATCTCAGAATGGGCCGGCCCGTTTTAAGATGGGACAATTGTGAAAAATTTTTTCATCACAGTAACACACACAAGATCTGTACGTTTTACGTTTGTTTGCTAATCTAGAGCTTTGCATAACTTAATTCAACGTCTTCTTCGGTTTCAATTTGATGTTCAGCAATAGGACGCACACTTACTATTATCAAAAGTACTTTGAATAGACATTTGTTAGTGTTAGCTTACTTAGATACATTCTAACTCGATTGCTTCGAATGATAAGTACATCAACCAATAACATTGTAAAGATCTAAAACTGCTATGATCAACCAGTCAAATCGTTTCGACATTTAGCCGCAATCGTAAGATTAAGTTCGACAAAACATAAGACAGATCGTTAAGTCGTATGATTGACTATTGATAACCATAATTGAGTATCAAATGAAGAATCGCAAATCATACGATTCATGACCTACCTGAACGTATCGAAGAATAATCGTATGATAAACTGTTTGGCGAAACATAAGACAGATTGTTAGTCGTAGATTGACCACATTGAGTATACAAATACAGAATCGTAAATCATACGATTCCACAACTCATCCTACTGATAGTATGTATTATTATTGTAAATTAACAAAACAATAAAGTACAATTATACCACTCGGTTTAATAAGCGTTCGTCCAACACACTGCCGAATTCTATATAAACGTTGCCTCGCTGTTTGCAGAGTTGACAAGTCATAAATACATCAAGATGTCTGTTAATAATTTTGAATTTCTGTCCAGTGATGACATTCCGGATAATGAGGATGGCGATCATTATGAAAACGATGAAAATGAGAGATTCGAAAACATTGTTGAAAACATTGGTGAAAATAGTGAGCAAACCAATCCACAGGCCGAAAATGAACTGCACAATGACTCATCTTCGGAAGATGATATCGATCTCATAAAACTGGATTCTTTATCCAAGATACAAGCCGAAATCGTGTAACATATGCGTGTCGGATAGACACCTGGCTGAGATACAAATTAAGATGATAGTATGTCCGAAATGTGGCCCGAGCGAATCCGGCAATATGATGAGCGTAATCAACCGGTGAGTATAATTGATTCTCGGTTGCAATTTAGATACAGAGTTCCGTTAATTAATCAAATTGATAAATATTATGCAGAACATTTTGTTGTTGCATTAACTAGTCAGAAGCATTTTGTTATAGTTTATCGTCTGTATGATCTGTGTTACTGTGATGAAAAAATTTTTCGCAATTGTCCCATCTTAAAACGGGCTGGCCCATTCTTAGAATGGGTCAATTCCCAGAATGGGTCGTAACAATATCAAACGAGTGCCGCGATGGAAAACCAAAATAACTATTGATATAACCGTTGCCACCGCCGTGAAGAATTTTCTCGAGAATTACGCTGAAATTCATGGATTACCAAGTCCGGGTAGAAATGTCAATCGCATTACTCAATCGCTTACATTATTGCCAGCTGAAACGAGTTATAAATCAGTCTATCGTAATTTTATTGCAGGTCTCGAAAATGATAGCGCGTTGAAAATGTTAAAGTATGATGCGTTTCGCAAGTTATGGCACCAATTAACGCCCTATATTCAAATAATGAGTCCAAGAACGGATTTGTGTGACACGTGCCAACATTTTCGGAATGGCTTGCAGTATAATGCTCGCAAGGAAGAAGAAGCAAGAGATTTATTGAAATTTTTCAAAGAACATTTAGTTAAGGCTAAATTAGAGAGAAATTATTACAACAAAAATACGAAATTAGCAGAACAACAGAGAAAATTGGTAGATGAGCAATTTATAATAAGAGGTAAAGCTGATTATTGTAGCGTTGACGCTACTGCTCATTACAGTTACGATTGGGCACAAAACGTTCACGTGCCCCATTCCGATCAACAGGTAAGTAAAATTTATTATCTCAGTCCACGTAAAGTGCATTTATTTGGTATCCAAGATGAAGCAGTACGCGAACAAATTAATTATGTTCTCGATGAGGACGAAATTATCGGCAAAGGCCCTAATGGCACGCTAAGCCTGGTATTCGATGGAATTAAGAGATTGAATAAAGGTGAAAAATATTTAAAGATTACTTGCGATAATGCCGGCGGTCAGAATAAAAATAATGCTACCATTTGATTTTATCTGTATTTAGTTATTTGCGGTTATTACGAAAGTGTTGAATTAAATTTTATGGTACCTGGACATACTAAATTCAAGTGTGATGGTAGTTTTGGATTGATTAAGAAACTATACCGAAAGACGACAGTAGATTGTATAGACCATATTGTTGAGGTTGTGAAAAAATCAAGTACAGCTGGATTAAACAAAGCTCAGTGTTATGAAAACGGCAAAGGCTTTCAATACTTAGATATTAATTCCGTATTGGGAATTTTCTTTAAAAAATTGAGTGGCTTACAAAAATATCGGCATTTTCTATTTGAAGCAGCCAAACCTGGTATTGTCAAAGCTCAGCTGGTTGCTAATGGTTCATATACCGAATTTAATTTATTGAAAACCAGAAAAGCAAGTGTTTCTGAAATTACCAAAGAAATTAAATCTTTTTCTATTTTAGTTCTAACTCCGCCTCTTTTGGATTACAAAAGGCAAGAATATCTTTATCATAATATTCGCCCATTTATTAGGGATGAATTCAAGGATATTACTTGTCCAAACCAATCTATCCTGATAATGAATAAAATATTTCAGTCAACCACAAATTTTATTACTTTATTAATTTTTGTTTGTTCTATTAAATTCTTTACGATTTAATCTTTTATTAAAATAATAATATAGGAATTAAAATTATGGCATTCAAAAAAGATGATATAATAATACCGAAAATGTACAGCTGATTCTTAAGTATACACAGGAGCTTCAAATATCTTCGCAAGTGTTCCCTGTCTCAAGGAGTGAAAGCTCATGCAAAGCGTCTTTTGGGAACGTTTTGACAGATTCTTTTACAGTTGGTAGAGTTAGCCAACTCTGAAGAGTTCTATTTACGAACAACCTTTTTAATTATTACTACTTGGTTTATTACAGCAGCCGTTATGGAGAGATGACGGAAAGAAGATTCCGTAAGTAGTACATACATTTACGCATATGGGTAAAGCGAGAGGGAAATATGAAATCTGAGACTATTCTGTTAGCAATTAATACAATTTTCCTTATATGCTTTGAACGTAACTTGATACTACCAAGACTTTATACAGATGCCAACTGTCTTGGCTGTCGATAATATATAACAGTTACTTTACCAGGTAAGCTTCCCATGGCGATCCCACGCGAGAACAAGTTGCATTACTATTCATGAAGAGTCATGGAACGTCATGAAGAAATATGCTTCTGACTTCATATTAAGATAGTGTATTGAGAATTTGGGGCGTGATGGTGTATACTCTATATACAGTGTGTAACAAAAAAAATTGGCCTCTATACAAACAAAATTTAAAAGCGCATAGCTTCACAAGTAAATAAACAAATCGCGTCAAATTTTAATAAACAGCAATGCTAACTTGGTTGTTATAAAAACGCG